CTCTTAAGATAAAGAAATGCCTTATTAATAATATAATTCCAATAGATCGTATTTACAAGTAGAATACGTCCAATCAAATTGGAACTCTGGGTATACTACTCTAACACAAATCACTCATTAAGTGCATCAAATTAATTGCTATACCATTGTTAACAAAATTCCAACTTACCAAATTTATGTTGCGGATACGCAATTTTACATGTTGCTGCCCTAATTCAAATTCGACCTACTGCATATCATGATTACTCCCCTATACAGCTAGTGCGTGGTAAAGAACCTAACATTTCCCATCTGCGAGTATTTGGTTGTGCAGTCTATGTTCCTATATTACCACCACAACGTACCTCTATGGGCCCTCATAAAAAACTAGGTATATATATTGGCTATGAATCTTTATCTATTCTCAAATACCTAGAGCCCATGACTGGGGATCAATTTACAGCTCGGTACGCTGACTGCATATTCGATGAAGAGAATTTTCCGGCATTAAGGGGAGATAAAAGCCCAAACTTAAATAAATGCCGAGAATTTTCTTGAAATGTAGAAAATCTAAAATATTTAGATCCACGCACTAATAAAACTGAACTTGAAGTTCAAAATATAATTAATTTGCAATATTTAGCAAATAATTTGCCAGATGCATTTACCGATCATAAAGAAGTGACCAAATCACATGTAACTTCTATAAATTCACCACAACGAGTGAAAGTCCCCATGAAATCTAATATTCCTGCAAATGCTCCACGCCAAAAGCGTGGTAGACCCGTTGGTACAAAAGACAATAATCCGCGGAAAATGAAATCTAATAAAAATATTGAATCACTCCTGAAATCTCCAGAAGTGAATCGTCCAGAAAGCGAAAATCCTAGTTTAAATGCACGTGCACCAAATTATAAAAATACTAGGATTGCGGAACATTCAGATCAAAATATATTGGGAAATGATGAAGATCTGGTTGGTGTAAATATTTAAGTAGCTACGAATTTTGTTGATACAGGAGAAACTTATAATAGAAGTAACATAGTCGTCGACGACACATTTACCTCTGTAGTTGCTTTTACCATCTCCAATAATCTAGATCCATAACCTAAATCAATTGTAGAGTGCCGGAAGCGCTCCGATTGGGTAAGATGGAAAGAGGCAATTGAGG